GCCGCGGCCGACGTGGACCTGGGCTCCCCGACCAGCGCCCCTGGGCTGCGGTGACCTCCTGCCCCGGGCGGCGTGAGGGAGGCGGGGCGTCTCCTTCGCTGTGTCCGCGGACGCTTGGCCCTCGTCGCTGCTTGAGAGACTTCCGCGAGCGAGCGGGCCCTGGCCGTCGTGCCTCCCGGGCAGGGTGGCCGGGTGTTGCAAGAGGTGGCCGGACCTGTGTTTCGCGTCCAGGGCTGGGGGGTGGACACGGACAGCCCTCCAGGAGGCCGCCGTTGCAGCCTGGCTTCCAGAAGGGCTTGGGGCACCGGGAGGGCTTGTGCTGGCAGGTGGGCCACAGGTGTGCCCGTCCTGACTCCCCTCTCCTCCCCCCAGCACTGGGAGGCCACAGCAGGCAGTTGCCCCCTGGGTTTCAGCACCACACAGCCCGGCTGCTCCCCAGCAGCCCGGGCGCTTCCTTAGGGTTCTGGGTGTGACTCGCTGACCTTAGCAGCCACTCCGGTGACCCGAGAGGCCACACAGAAAGTCTCCTTCAGGGTGGCCTGCAGGTGTGAACTCCAGCCCTTCTCATGTGTGACCCCTGGGGCCCTTGTCATTTTCAGCGGTACCTGGGTTTCCTCGTGTCTCTTTGAAGCCTCGAGGTGCCCTGGATCAGTTGGAGCTGAGCTGTCTGTGTGTGTCCAGACGGACAGGACTTCACCTTGGCCACCGCTGCGGGTGGGGTGGGGGGTGTTGTCCGTTCAGACTGGTGACTGCTGGGGGCTTCAGTTGGTGTAGACCAGTCTTTCCCAAGGTGGCCGCAGAAGCATGTAACCCACACCTTGTCCTGGGCGGTGGGCCGCAGCGCACAGGTTTGTCATTGCCAAGGGCGCGCTCAGGGCTTTTCCCTGAAAAGAGAGTGGTAGGTCAGATCCGTTTGGGAACCTGGTGTAGACACTTCCTGCTTGAGGCTGGTGGTCCTGGGAGAAGAACAGTGTGTGCGTGTGCGTGTCCCCTGCCCTCCATCTCTGCTCAGCAGCCAGAAAGAGAGTGAAACTGCGCGCATGTGCGCACGCGCGCGCGCTCTCAGGATTTCACAGAGGCACCAAGAAAACAAACCACACTCCCTGCCATCGAGTTGATGCCGACTCACAGCGACCCTACCGCGCAGGGCAGAGCCGCCCCTGAGGGCTTCTGAGACGGGACTCTTGATGGGGGCAGCTGGTGGTTTCGAACTGCTGACCTGGGTGACCGCAGGCCAACGTGTAAACACTACGCCACCGACCAAACTCGGGACCCTCAGGTCAGTCCTGACTCAGCGGCCTTGAGGGACGGGGTAGAACTGCCCCGTGCGTGTCCGAGACTGCAGCTCTGCGAGCTACAGACTTGTCTCTCTCCCACAGGGCAGCTGGTGGTTTTGAACTGCTGACCTTGCGGTTAGCAGCGCGGCTCGTAGCCGGGACAGCACACCAGGGCTCCTCACAGAGGCGCAGGGCAGCTTGCTTGAAGCGCTAAGGTCACGCACAGTGTTTCTTGCAGGAGAGCAGCGGGTTTCCAAGGTTAAGCTGACGTGCGGCACAGAGTAGGGTCCCCGTGGTGTTGTAGATGGCATGCTGTTGCACGGTTTTTCTGCGGCTGAATAGAGGGAAAAGATAAAAAGAAAACAAGATTGTTCCCATCAAAATGGACATCGTACTCAACAGCCCCATAGCTGAGCGGCGGTGTGCGTTTGTAGGACAGCTCTTGGTCCAGTGGGGTTGGGAAACTCGTTTTCAGAAGGGTCCTGCGAGGGAAATGGATGTTGGAGTATAAAACGAGGGCATTCCGATCCTGCTAGGATTTCTCTATTCAACAGCCGTCCTAGCCGGCCTTTCCTCCTGGGGTCACGCCACTTGACCCCAGACTTGGGTCTGGGCATGGTGGTGCGTGCCCAAGGACCAGTCCTCTAGGCCATGAGTGATTGAAGTTGGAACACTGTTAGTGCGTGTGAACTGCGGAAAGCACTCCCTGTCCTCTCCTGGCATGTGCTTCTGTTTCTCCTGAGAGGGACATGGGAGGCGGGGGGGACTTGCAGACCCTGAGCACTCTCCCCAATCTCTGTGGAAGTACTGTGGACCCAGCTGGAGCTGGACTGTGGGTGCCAGGGGGCTGTCCTGCCCAGTCAACTCCCAGGACATACAGAACCCAGCTGTAAGCAGTCTCTGTTCAGAATGGAGGCACAGATCCTGAGGACGCTTCTGGTGCGGTCCTTAAGGGCGTCCTTCGCGTCCAGGGGGTGTCGGGCTGCCAGCGGGGCTGTGTGAGTGTGTACACGGAGGCACAGAGGCGCCTTTGGGCACAGCTGCCTCGGTGTGGGGGGTGGGGGTGCCGAGGCTCTCCGTCTGGGCAGGAGCAGCCGACTTCATCTTTCCCCCCTGGAGTTTGAACCCCTGACCTTTGGGTTGGTAGCCCAACACTTAGCCCACTGCCAGGACCAGGGCTCAGCCGAGGGGCGGGAGCTTACATTTGTAAACAGCTTTACTTAAATACCTTCTCAAATGTCTTCACTCGCCTGCCTATCCGGGAGCTTCCCAACAGCAAACAGAACGCACACCTGTGCTGTTTGTTCTGGCGGGGCGGGGGCGGGGGGGCGGCGTCTGGCGGGTGCGTCTTGCTAAAGACAGAGTTCTTGGAGTTTTGCCACAGACCCGAGGTTAGCGATTCAGGACCCTCCCTGCCTCCACGTTGGCACCCTGGGCCCTGTGCCCGTAGTTCCCTGGCTGGAGGCGCTCTGGTTGACGCTGGTGTCTTAGAGCGGCTGTGCATTTTCTGGGGGGTGTCGGAACCACCAGCCCTGCTCCACAGCAGTGTCCTGACTCAGGTGGCATGGTGGCCAGGCTCCAGCCACAGGGCCCACGGACGTGTGGGTGAGCCCCCCATGGAGACGGGTTCCATAGGTGATCTGACGTCATCGCCACGCGCGCCCTCCCCTGAGAGGTCTTGCCGCACTAGTGGGTGCATCTGTCTGAGGCCGGAGTCAGTGTCACTAGGTCTGGTGAGGCTCGGTGGAGATGGGCCGCGTGTGGTCACCGACACATAGGCCCTCGCCTAGCGTGGTGGGCGCCCGTGTGACCGGCTAGCTAGAGGGGTAGCCCCGCTCGCTGACAGGGACAGGATGAAGCCCTGGCCCCTCCTTACTGGTCACACGGCTCTGTTCTGCCCTGAGTCCTGGTTGCGGTGAGAGCGCTACAGGCCCCATTTCACGGTCCTTTCTCCTCCCCAGGTCAGAGGAAAGAGAGCCTGGGCTGGCTTCTCCCTGCAAGCAACGCCTCCCTCTTCAGCCCCCGCCATGCAGCCTCCGCCCCCCACTGCCCCAGCAGGCGTGCCTGGGCCACCTCCCATGGGAACCCCTCGCGGCACCGTGTTCTGGTCCAGCAGTCCGTACAGAAGACGGGCGCCCGGGCCTGCGCCATCAGCACCTGTGACGTGCCCCCTGCAGCCCGTCACGGACCCTTTTGCATTCAGTAGGCAGGTGCCTCAGGAGGCGTCCCTGGACCCTGGGCCGGGCCTTAACCCGAGGTTTCCTCAGCAGCCTGCTCTGTCTCCATCTCAGGGACCATGCGAGCCAGGGCCTACCCTGTTGCCACAGCCCGGGATGGGCAGCAGCCCCTTCACTGCCCCCCTGACCTCTCCGGGACTGTCTGGGCCGGAGTCCGACAGGAGCCCAGCTAGGGGGCCTGCCTCCGTTGTTGACCTGCCCAGCCCGCCAGACCCTCCTCAGTTTGTTCCCAGAGTGAATTCTGATAGTTTGCAGGGGGTAGCACCCGGGCCAGCCCGCCCCCTCAGCAGACAGGACCCCCACGACAGGGCTGGGGCCCCCTCGACCACGTCCTTCCCTCAGCCATCCCAGCAAGTGCCTGGTCCCTGGCCCCCTGCCCAGGGTGGGCTGCAGCCCCCGCACCACGGGGCCGTCCGTCCACATCTCACCCCTCAGCCTGGTGGGCACCAGGGCCTGAGCCATGAGCAGCACTACCACCCGCCCGCCCCTGGGCCGGGACCCTGGGCCGAAGACGAGAGGAGCGAGGCAGCCTGCCTTCAGAGTGGGGGCCTCTCTGCCACTCCCTTTGACCCTGAGAACACGTTCCGCCAGAGCCCCAGGGTGGGCCCCGCCTGGGTGAGCCCGGGGTTTAGGCAGAGCCCAGGAGAGCCTGCTGTGGGCAGCCCACTTGCTCAGGGCCACAGCGCCCACCACCGCCAACACTACCCGCCGTGGCCGGGGCCCAGCTCAGGGGCTGGCTCCCTGTTGCCCCACAGCGGGGAGGCGGAGAACGAGGAGGACCTGTCCAGGTCCACAGAGAGCGTAGGCACAGCGGGGCCATCTTCATTTGACGCCTTTGCCCCTGGCCAGCCTCCCCCCGCTGCACACTTGGGCCCAGGCAGCCTCTGCCAGCCTGCTCTCCAGGGTCCCAGCGGAGAGACCAGCCAGCCAGCCACTGGGAACTCAGCCGTGGAGATGTGGGGTGGTGCTGCGGGTGGGGGAACCCACAGCGCCCTTGGCTCACGGTGGGAGAATGTTGAGAACCTGGAATTTGTCCAGAACCAGGAAGTTCTGCCCAGTGAGCCGCTGCCTCTGCCCCCGTCACCCCCGAGTGAGCCCTTCCGGTACAGCGCCCACTCTGGGCATCGTGTCACCAGCCACACTGGGGCTGGGGGGCCACATCGGGACGGCCCCAACACAGCCCTGCTGCCCCTCAGGCCCGAGGGTGTGCCCTCCAGCTATGGCAGCCAAGGCTCACCGGGTGGGAGCGCGCTCTGCCCCCAGGAGCTGGCACACACCTTCATCCAACAGGAGGTCGGGAAGCCCGAGGAGGAAGCTCCGGGCAGCTTCTTCCAGCAGATCGATTCGTCCCCTGTGGGAGCGGAGATCGAGGCGGCGCCCGGAAGCCAGCCCTTCCGGCCCCGACTGCCACCACCCTCCACCCCCAGCCCTCCGAAGCCCACGGGGGTGTTCCAGACAAGTGCTAACAGCTCTTTTGAGCCCGTCAGCTCCCACATGATTGGGGTGAAACCGATGGAGGCCGATCAGGCCAATGTGGTTGGGGAGGTGCGGGGCAGCCATACCCGCCAAAGGAGGCCGCGGGGCCCTGCCGCCCCGGGCAACCTGGAGCAACCGCCCGACAACATGGAGACCCTCTTCATGCCGCTGGCTCCCGGCAGCACTGTGGACGCCGGCCACGGGCTTCCTCACGGGGGACGGCCATCTGCGGAGACCAGACTGGCAACGCCCGAGAAGAGGCCCTCGGCCAGGGCCCATGGGACCTCAAAGTGTGAGAGCCCCGCCACCACCTTGTGGGCCCAGAACGAGCTCCCTGACTTTGGGGGCAACGTCCTCCTGGCCCCCGCTGCTCCTGTGCTCTACGTCCCCGTCAAGCCCCAGGCCCCAGAGGTGGTCCAGCCCCCGGACGAGGGCCTCTGTGGGCAGCAGTCCCATGCGCCAGGCCCTGCACCCCCCAACGGGGGCCAGGAGGGCGTCGGTGCATCTGAAAACCTGGAGAACCCACCCAAGGTGGGCGAGGAAGAGGCCGGCCCACCACAGGCCAGTTCTGGTTCCAGCCACATGGCTCTGCTGGCCTCTCCACCCCCAGGGTCGGTGTGCAGCCCGCAGGCCTCGGCTGCTCCGCCCAGCAGTCTGTCTGTGTCTTCCTCAGGTCCTCACGAGAGGGGCCTGGCCCAGCGTGACTCTGGAGTGGGGGGCAGGCCAGCCTGTGGGGAAGGCACCCCCTCCTTGAGGGGCCTACCTGGGGCCCATGTCAGCTCGACACTGCCCGGTATCCTGGCCCCGAGTGGTTTTCCACAGGCGGCTAGTCCTGATAGGCTGGCCACTCAGCCTGCCAGCACGCTGGCCCAACCACCTCCTGCAGGTGCTCAGAGGAGCCGGGATGCTGAGAATGTGCCCCCCCCTGGGGCAGTGCCTGGGGACAGCAGCCGAGAAGTGTCTTCTGGAGCCCTGGACTTCACGGTAAGAGGGCTGTGGGGGTGAGAGTGACCCCTCGTGCCCCAACGCCTGGGCCGCCGAACTCAGACCTCTCCTGCCATCAGATGACGAAGCCAGGTGCAGGCCAGAAGGGTGCAGAAAGGGCCCAGCCCGAGGTGGGGCCTCCACCGCAGCCGGCAGTGGCCCCACCACAGCCCCGAGCAGCGCTGCTAGGATCTCCCAGCCCGGGAAGCCCACCAGCACCAGACCAGGCCCATGGTGCCACCCCACAGCCGGCAGCAAGTCCCGCCCTGGCCGACCCTGGTCAGCAGGCGCAGCCCTGCCCACCTCGGTTCTCCAGCGTGTCCGTCACCTCCACCAACTCAAGCCAAGTGGCCGGGCGGTCAGAGCTGCCGTGGCCTCCCCTGCCCGCAGACTACTCGTCCTATTACTACTACAGACCCTTCTATGACGCCTACTCGCAGTACCCCCCACAGTACCCGCCGGAGCCCGCAACAGCTCCTGCCTATTACCAGGTACGCCAAGGGTCCTTGCTCACGGGAGGGGGGACCTGCTTTCTTGTGCAGCCCCTGTGGTGAGTCTGAGTCTTGGAGAAGTCACAGAGAGTCCTGTGCCTGCCCAGCAACCCCCGGCTCCAGGCAGCCTCATTCCTTTGTCACCCTGTCCCCGTCACCGTCTGCCTTGCGTTGGCCCCCGGCAGTGCACTGAGTGCCAGGGCGCTGGGTGGGGGAGGGGCCGGGTAGCTCAAGGCTGAGGGATTGATCAGGAAGGCCAGGGGAAGGGAGCTGGCACAAGCGTCACAGCTTGGGGGTGTGAGAGGGTCCCCTCAGTACAGCTGTGGTGAGTGCTGCTCCAATGGGCTGTGCCGGGTGGGAGGACTGGGTACACAGAGGCTGAAATGGAGGTGCCTGGGCTTCTTGCCTCATGGCCTCTGATGTCTACCCATTGCATCCGTGTGCGGGCGATTGCTGCCAGCTCAGGACGGGGTGCCTGAGCAGGGCAAGCCCCCTCTGTCCTTCACGTGGCTGCGCGCCCAGAGCCCCCAGCCACAGGCAGGAACGAAGGGGTCCGCGCAGTGCCCCCCACAAGTGCAGAGGCCATTGGTGTGCTGCAGGAGCCTGTGTCCCAGCTGCGCCCCAGGCACCAGGTGGCTAAGGAAAGGGGCTGCCAGCGCAGATGGGCACCTAGGCCCCGGGGAAACAGGAAGGAGAAGAGCCAGGGAGCCCTGGGGGGGTCGGGCTCTGCCCCTGCCTGTTGGGGTGGGGTGGGGGTGCAGTGTGCCGGCCTGGCCGTGTGTGCGTGCCCTGACACTCCATGCCGTGCCCTCTTCCAGGACACCTACAGTGCCTACAGGCCCTACGACAGCGCCGACGGCTACCGCTGCCCCGAGCCCGAGCGGCCCAGCTCCCGGGCCAGCCACTGCTCCGACCGCCCGGCCCCCAGGTGGGTGGCTGCCCTCCTCAGCCTGTGGGGAGGGACCTGCAGGGCGACAGGACTCTTGTGTAGCCTCGGGCGGCTCCCTCCCAGCGTGTCCGGTACCTGGTTGTGTACTTCTCCTTATCGGTGCCCTTTGTCCCCTCGGCCTCTTTGGTTTTGCTGCCCTGTGCTCGCTTATCAGGGTGCTCCCTGCTGCCGCCATGCACACGTGCAAACATGGGGCACACGCGTGTCGTAAACGTCTGCTCTGGTGAGGAGGCGGGTCAGCTGGGATGGAAACCCACTTGTGCAAACTTCTGGGTCTGCTGGTCACCCTGGGAAGAGGACGGCTGCTCTAGTCACTGCTCTGCTGCCCCTGCTCTGGGGGCGAGACCCCTTGGGCTGTACTGAAGGGGGCATGAGAACAGCCTGTGTGTAGCTCAGATCCCAATAAGTGTAAAGACTGTGTGTCCCCGCAGACCGAACTGGCCTCAAGCACGCCTGGCTGGCCTTACAGGTGCCACCAGCCCAGAACTGGGATGTGGGATGGCCCCCTGGCCCTGCCCCCAGAGCGTGCAGCTGGCTCTGTCACCCACAGGGCCTCCAGCCTCCCAACTATCCCCCTGCTGAGCAAGGGCCCCTCTGGCTGGAACAGCAGTCAGCACACTTCTCCGATGGAAGAGCCAGTCATCTTCCAAACCACAATTAAAACCAGTGAATATATTTTCACAAACAACGAAATCACCGTTCCCCAAAAGTGAAAGTTTTATTTGCTTCCAGGTCACATGTACCTGCCACAGAGCCGCAGGTGGCCCTGCAGCCACAGTGGACTGACCCTGGGCCAGCACATTCCCACTGCCCGGGGCTGGGGCTTGCGTCTGTGGCCGCTGTTGTAGGTGTTGCTGACCAGCCTCTGTTTCGTAGGCCGGGCTACCCGGAAGGGTATTACTCCTCCAAAGGAGGATGGAGCAGCCAGAGTGACTACTATGCAAGTTACTACTCCGGCCAGTACGACTATGGAGGTGGGTCGGGAGCTGTGTTTCAGGGCCCCAGACTCCTGGTAGCCGCTTTCGGGTCCTTTCCATTGCCCCGGGAGTGTGGTGGTGACACTGGGTTGGTCTGCGATCCACAAGGTCAGCAGTTTGAGACCAGCAGCCGCACTCTGCAGAAAGGTGGAGCTTTCTACCCCTGTACTCAGTCAGTCTCGGAAGCCCACAGGGCAGGCTGCCTTGTCCTTAGGGGTCACCTGGGAGGCAGCGTGGACTCGATGGCCAGTGAGGCGCACATTTTGTTTCTGACGAGCCCAGGCCACTGCAGAGCCGTCCCTCACTCCCCGCCAACCCCTCCCTCACTCCCCGCCAACCCCTCCCTCCCTCGCCAGACCCTGCCCGCTGGGACCCCTATCACTACACCGCTCGGTTCAGGGATGCCCGTGCCTATGATCGGAAGTACTGGTACGATGCACAGTACAGCCCCTACCGGAAGGAGCCCTATGCCTATGGGGACAGGTGGGTCAAGCAGCTCCCCTGCAGGAGGGCAAAGGTGTACCCCTCCCTGCCTCTGTATCCTCGGGCCTGGGTGGTGCACTGGGTGGCCTCTCTCCATGGGCCCTGCGGCCCAGAGACAGAGAGGTGCTCACAGGGGCCCGGGCTTGCCTGTCTGGGCTGCACGGGCAGAACCTTGGCTGTAATGGAAACGCTGGGCCTGCCTTGACTGCCCAGGGGGTGGACTGCTGGGCTGGGGGCCCTGCGGGTTGTGCTTTGAGTGGGAAGGGGAGGCTGGGTTTCGAGGGAGTCAGTCACCGGTGGTCCTGAGCTGCTGCCCCACGTTCTCTAGAGCTGACAAGGACGAAGACTCCTGGAGGTACGACCCCCGCTTCGCGTCCAGCTTTGAGGAGGACCTGGAGCTGCACCGAGACCCCTATGGGGAGGAGGGGGACAGGCACAGTGTCCACAGCGAGCACTCAGCCCAGAGCCTGCACAGCCGCCGCAGCAGCTTCAGTACCCACTCGCAGCAGGTGGGCATGCCACCAACACACGCACTCACTCACACAAGGCCCTTTCCTGGCAGGTGTCCTCCTGGCACACGCCCTCAGGGCCTTGGCGAGGGCTGGGTAGAAGTGAGCCTGTGGAGGCGCTGAGGAGCCGGTGGGCTGTCTGAAGGAGCCCGTGTGACGCCTCTGTCTTGCTGGTTCGAGGACCAGAGCCTGGGGCACACGGGCACTGCCCCTTTATGAGACTAGCCCTGGCCTCTTTCCTGGGGAATCGCGATGTGAACCCCCAGCCTCCGGTTAGCAGCCTGTGCTCCCCACATGGTGCCCCAGCCCAGCGAGCGCCCCCCCAAGTAGGGTCCCTTGTGTGTTTCAGAGTCAGATTCACAGAAACCACCACATGGAGGCCCCGGCCGGACCAAGTTCCTTCCACGGGGACTACAGTTACGGCGCTTACGGCGGCAACTTCAATAGCCTACAGGGCTTCCCCGAGTACGGCTACCCTGCAGATGCCAGCTGGCCCACGACTGAGTCAGGTGGGCCCAGAGGGAGGCACAGGCCCCATGAGGCGCTGGCCTGACAGGGTGGTTGGCATCTGTGGGGCCTGGCCTGGCTCTCCCTGCAGGTCTGAGCTTGTCTGGGCTCAGTGCCCCCAAGCCCTGGCTGCCCTGCTCCTACACCCGAGCCCAACCTCTTGGCTGGCACCTCTTTGTGCCCTGTTGCTGGCCACCTGGGCACTCGGTTAGGGAGGAAGCAGCTCCGTCCGTGCACAGCCCCAGGGCTGATGAAATGGTGTTTCTCCGCAAAGGGCTCACGCATAGGCCGGGCCAGCAGTCGTCCTTCTTCCCGTTCTGCCCATGCTGGGCCTTGGCCATCCCAGCGGGGTGCTCCCTGAGGCCCCTCTTCGGGCATGAGAGAAGGGGCTTCCTGCTTCTCTGGCGTCTGTTCCCAGGGGCTCTCACCCGGAGCAGTGAGAACACAGCCCCAGAGGTGGGAGTTCTCTCAGGCTCTGGCAGTCGGGCCGTTCGGAGAGGTTGGGCTTCTGGGTTTCTCTGTGGTTGGTGACAGGCAGGCCCTGAGAGCCACATGCTCGGCCGCCGTCCAGGGGACAGCTTGGGGGCACAGGCGATGCCAGCCTTGAGTGCAGCGCAGGGTGACTGGTCTCTGTCGGCCTGCGTCCCACAGCCCCGTCGAGGCCCACGTCCCCCGAGAAGTTCTCAGTGCCCCACGTCTGCGCCAGGTTTGGTCCTGGTGGGCAGCTCGTCAAGGTGATCCCAAACTTGCCTTCAGAGGGACAGCCGGCGCTGGTGGAGGTGCACAGCATGGAGGTGAGGCAGCCCCGCCCGCGGGGCTCTCCGTGGGCACAGCTGGCTTCTGGACCTGCTCCATTGGGGGCCCAGGCCCTCCCTCCGCAGCTGCGCCCACGCTGGCTCTGCTGTTGGGTCTCGTCATCCATTTGGCTGGGCTGAGAGTCCTGGGATGGCTGAGCAGGTTGGCCCCTCCACCGTGTGGATCAGGGCCCCTGCGCAGTTTGTGGAGGAAGCAGGGGTCTCACTATCGGGTGTTCTGTCCCACACGGGCGGCCATGTGACCCTACCCCCCTCTTGCAGGTGCTGCTACAGCACAGCCCTGAGCAGGACGAGATGCGCGCCTTCCCAGGCCCGCTCGGCAAGTACGTGCTGCCTGCCGCCCGCCTGTGCACACACACTGGCACCCAGGCCTTGCAGGGTCCTCACGAGGTCCACGCTGTCCTGGGGGTGCAGTGCTGCCGTGGCACTGAGAGCCCTTCTCTCTGCAGATGCGACACTCACAAAGTGGACGTCATTAACTTTGCGCAGAACAAAGCGACCAGGTGTCTGCAGAGCGACAGCATCGTTGACAGAGAATCGGCCAGCCTGCTCTGGAGCCTCATCGTCCTCCTGTGCAGGCAGAACGGGGTATGCTGCTTGTGGGCTCTGGGGAGCCGTGCAGGATGACACTCCCGGAGAGGTGCCGCCCTTGGTCTGACTGCCCCCCCCTGCTGACCCGCAGACCGTGGTGGGGACCGACATCGCAGAACTCCTGCTGCGTGACCACAAAACTGTGTGGCTTCCTGGGAAGTCGCCCAACGAGGCGAACCTCATCGATTTCACCAGTGAGGCTGTGGAGCAGGTGGAGGAAGAGGAATCGGGGGAGGCCCAGCTCTCATTCCTGACCGATAGCCAGGCAGCTGGCACCGAGCCCCTGGAGCAGGAGACGGAGCACTTCCGGGAGCTGCTGCTCTATGGCCGCAGGAAGGTGAATGGATGTACCTGGGGCGGTGGGGGAACACACCTGCCTGTCCGGGTCTCGGCACCGTGTAGTCGTGACCTGGATTCTAGGACACACACACACACACACACAGACCCCCCCCCCCCCACCACACACACACACCACCCCCACCCACCAACACCACCACCACCACCCTACCACCCCCTGGAAGGCAGAGAAGCGCGCTCCCCGAATTGGGGAGAGGGTGTTTTAGGCAGCTGGAGCTGGGGGCCATAGGAAGGTAGCAGTGGGCACTGGTCTCTGGATGGTCCCTGCCACGTGAAGAAAGCGTGTATCTGAGAGCAGCCAGCACTTACTGCTGGCCCCGATGCCGGGTGTTAGCCTCACCACCACCAGTCCCAAGTCTGTGCTCCGTGGGGTTAGAGGGGACTGCCCCCATGAAGGTGCCGGCAGAGCCCAGGGACGCTGGGGTCTGGGGGTCGAGCTTAGCCAGTGTGGCTCTGGAAACACCTGTCGGCAATAGGACTTGGAGTAGGGGGAATACACCAAAGCAGAGGCTCCAGGTCCGAGAGTCCGGCCCTGAGGACAGGCCCTCTTGCTGCGAGCACACCGTGCACGTGTGCATCGCTCGGGTGCCCTGGCCTCCGTAACCCCCGGGTGCTTTACAGGACGCGCTCGAGTCTGCGATGAAGAAAGGCTTGTGGGGTCATGCCCTGCTCCTGGCCAGTAAGATGGACAGCCGGACACACGCCAGAGTCATGACCAGGTAGAGCCGCCAGCTGGCCTGCGCTGGGGTTCTGTCCCGAGCTCTGGGTTGTGTGGTTGGTGGTCCCCGTGTCTGACAGCCGTGAAGATGAACTCAGGCTGCTGCTGGCCACCCGCCATGTGCCCTCAAGTCCTGGGCAGGCCCCGACTGACCCGGCTCTCTGCCTACCCAGGTTTGCCAACAGCCTGCCCATCAATGACCCCCTGCAGACAGTCTACCAGCTCCTGTCCGGGCGCATGCCAGCGGCATCCACGGTGGGTGGCCCCAGGTCCTTGCTCCCACCCCCTGGCCGTCCTCAGGCAGCAGGACCAGCAGGTGGAGCGGGTGGCTGGAATGTTCTCTATGCTCCGTGTTGCAGTGTTGCGGTGACGAGAAGTGGGGAGACTGGCGGTCCCACCTGGCGATGGTCTTGTCCAACCTGAATGACAACCTGGAGGTGGCATCTAGGACGATGGTCACCATGGGAGACACGCTGGGTAAGGCTCTGAGCCTCGGGCCTGCCTGTGCCCCTCGAGGGCGGGCTCTGCCACCACTGCCAGCCACTCGGCTCCCTCTGCCTGTGCTGATGCTGTCTCTGGGTGTCCCGCAGCTGCCAAAGGTCTCCTGGGCGCGGCACACTTCTGCTACCTCATGGCCCAGGCTGCGTTTGGAGTCTACACGAAGAAATCGGCCAAGCTGGTCTTGATTGGCTCCAACCACAGGTGAGGCCCCGCAGCATGGTGGCAGCTCCTCCAGGGCCAAATGGTGGGCAGGCTGCCCGTCCTGGTGACCCTGCCAGACCCACATGCCACTCTGTCTAACAGTTTGCCATTTTCGAAGTTCGCCATCAACGAAGCCATCCAGAGAACGGAAGCGTACGAGTACGCGCAGTCCCTCGGGGCCCACACCTGCTCCCTGCCACACTTCCAGGTGCTCCAGGGCAGGGCGGGGCAGGGGCTGCAGCTGCCACATCCCAGTGCGACAGCCAAGGCTCCTGCCACCGGGGGTGGGAAGGGGCCACCTCGGGGTCCACAGTTGCAGTGGACGCCACAGCTGACCCCTGGGGCGGGGCGACCATAGGTGTTCAAGTTCATCTATGCCTGCCGGCTTGCCGACATGGGACTGGCCACGCAAGCCTTCCACTACTGTGAGGTCATCGCCAAGAGCGTGCTGGCACAGCCCCAGGCCCACTCGGCCGTGCTCATCAGCCAGCTGGTCCAGGTGCGTCCTTCCTCGCCCACCTACCTCGGGGAAGCCAGTAGGTGGGTGTGACTGAGTGCTGGCACTGGAAGCTTGTCCCTTCCCCACCCATCTCCCTGACTCCCTGGAGCTCCAGTCCCTGTCCCAGTGTGACCCTCCTACCCCCCACCCCCACCCCCACCCCCGGATAAGACTGAGACAGTGGGCTCACTGCAGTGTCTGGGGTCCAGTCCTAGCCACAGGCCCCACTCAGACGTGTTAGTGAGGGTGGAACCTTCTGGAAAGGGCTGTTGCCTACAGTGACTGCTTGGTCCGTTTTCCCTTCCCTAATAGGGGTTTTTAGAACTGTGCTCCAAACTTACAGACCCACACAGAATAAAGGAGTAGTCAGGGAGCCCCTGCTCCCATCACCAGCCCAGCAATGGGTGGTTCCCGCACGTTCTAGCCGGGTCCCTCACCCTCCCAGCACCGTGCCGTCTACCCAGGCCACAGACCTCAGCTCAGAGTGGGCAGTGGTGCCTGTGCCACCCGTCTGGCAGGGTCAGAGGAAATGGGGGCACAGCGGGAGCTGTTCCATACACTCCCACCCTGGGAGACGAGAGGCTGCGGCCCCGTGGTGCTGGCTTTCAGGGCACTAGTTGGGGGCCGGGTCTGCCCGAGCAAAGAGCCCAGCACGGCTGCTCAGGGCAGGCGCCTGGCTGGGGGCCACTTCCCCACCCATTGTCCCTCCTCGCGTCCTGCTGCCCCAGGCCCCGAGAGTAGAGGGGCTGGGAAGGCTGAGGGAGGCGCAGCAGAGGCAGGCTCTCAGCCCTTGGTGGCTGCAGCTGGATCCAGGATTGCACCCTCTCCTCAGTCCCCGTGGGTATGTGCACAGGCCTGATGGCTCACGCAGGCACAGCCCCAGGGAGGGCCAAGGCAGCCACTGCCACATGGGCACAGTTAGGGGCACACCTCAAGCCCAGGTCCGAGCCGACAAGAGGCCTCATTCATGGTCCAGGCCCCGGGGAGTTTGGAGAGGACTGTGGCCTGCTGCTGTCCACAGTCACAGGCCCGCGTCTCTGCTCGTCCCAGGTGGCCTCCAAGTTACGCCTCTTCGACCCGCAGCTGAAGGAGAGGCCGGAAGAGGAGGCCTTTGTGGAGCCTGCCTGGCTGGTCCAGCTGCAGCAGGTGGAGAAGCAGGTGCAGGTGGGCTCCACAGGATGAGGAGCTGGGCCGAGGGGCCACCACGGGCAGAGGTGGCTCTGACGGGCCTGGTTTGTCTCCCCAGGAAGGCGCCACGGTCTGGTGGCAGGACGGAGCTCTCTCCTCACAGGGTCCTGCCACGCCAAGCTCCGAGGCAGAGCCGTGCGAGGCCCCAGGCCCCCAGGCCCCGCTGCTGGCACTGCCCCTGCCGGGCACTGAGCTCTCCGGCCCTGGCGTGCATCTGCTGCCCTCAGGTGAGCCCGGGGAGAGCTCCAGCGAGGTGGCGTGGACACGACGTCCTGGCTCTGGCTGGTGATGCCCTTCCCTCTGCTGCCCTCTCAGCTCCTCAGACACCCCCTGCCAGAGCGCCCATGCTCCCCGTGCCGCCCCCGGGCCTGAACGAGCCAGGGCCTGGCTTCGCGCCCCCAGTCTCCGCAATTGGCTTCCCAGAGTCCCCGTGGCCGGACCCCACAGTGCCGTGCCCAGGCCTGCCTCAAGATGCTTCCCGGTGGCAGGACCCAGGTGGGTGCCGGCATCAGACTTGGGCCCTGTCTGGGGAGGTGCCTGGCAAGGGAGCCTGGGAAAGTCGCAGCCCCTGTCTGTCTAGACGGGAGGGGCGCTGGGGCCCAGCTCCCGCCATAGCAGGCGCCCAGGCTGAATGCTTGTGCTGCTGGCGTGGGCTGTGGGGTGGAGCTGAGACAGACAACAAGGCCAGACCGGTGGGCGTGGACTCTGCAATGCGCCGAGCTGGCTTTGCTCGTACACCAGGACGGACGGAGGCAGCGGCCACTGGATGACATGCCCTCAGATCCCACCTGGGCCTGCACGGTGCCTGCCTCGGGCCCACCAGCTCCTGCTTGCTCATGGCCTGTTGTCGCTTCTGATAGGGACCCTGCCCCAGGAGCTGCCCCGGAGGGACACGCACTCAGAGCTCAGAGAAGAGGACTTTGGCGGGAACACACCTCATCTGGTACGTGCTGGTGTTTTGTTGGGTGTCTCAGCTGTTTGCTTCGGCAGGTGAAGTGCATCCCGCCCCCTTCCACCATGAGCAGAGCACACAGGGCCACGGGGCTCCTGAAGGTGTTCGGGGGTTCCTTTCTGAAGAGCCGATGAGGGATGCGCCTGGGAGGGAGAGCCCCCCAGAGGCACCATTGCTGGGCAGAGACAGACTCGGCCCGATGAACAGCGTTACCCTCTCCTGTGCCAGAACGCCAGAACCCTCCTGGACCGGGCTGTCGTGTTGGCCAGGGTCTGTGCCAACACAGAGTGCATTTGGAGGGCGGGCACATGGGCTTAGACTGGGCTTATGGAACCTTCTCTACAGAGCAGCAGCTGCTCGGGCTCAGGGCTCCTTGCCAGCGGTTGTTTGGAGCTTTCCTCGTGTGCCCAGTGACTTGCTGGGAGTGAGCGTTCGCCACCGTGGGCGAGGGCCGCGCGCTCATGTTGTCCCACCGCCAGGCAGCAGCGCAGCTGGCACTCCCTCGGCATGTGCAGCCCCTCCTCCAGCAGTGCCCATGCTGCGGAGCAGAGCTGGCCTTTCCCTGACCACGCCCCCTGCCCCCCACCCCTGAACAAGACTGCCCCCTGCTGGGCTTTCTTCCCTGTGCCCATGGTGCCACAGGTGAGCCTGACCTGCCCTTCTCTGGAACAGGACTCAGCCAGGCCGCCAAAGGACCTGGAGCCCCCCCTGGGGTGGGAGCAAGTGGACTCTGGCGGGACAGCAGAGTCTGAGCCCAAGAGGCCTGTGAAGGGGGCCAGGAAAGAAGCCAGTGAACCTAAAAAGGTAGCAGCCCCACCTCAGCCCGGGGGACACGCGCTGTCCGAGTCTGACTGATGTGCGGACACGTGTGTTCCCTGCATGTGCACATGTGGGCCCTGGCAGGTCCCTGCTGTGCCCCCAGGTGACCCCTGCCAAGCCCCATATGGGCTGTAGGCTGCAGAGCTTCCTCTGTGTGTGTGCCCGCTCCAGAGCGCTCTCTGGATCTGGGGTAAATACTGCTCGACTGTAGGAGCAGCCGGCCATCGCCCCAGGGGCTGCAGGGCAGCTCCACAGTGCTGAGTGGGGCCTGCCCCTGGGGGTGGGGCCCGCCCCCCACCTCGAGCTCCCACAGCTTCACAATGCTGGGTGGGGTCGGTCTGTTGGAGGGAGGCAGCCCCTTGCCAAGTACTTGCATTTCTCTGAAGAGGGATGGAGTGGGGCAGGGCCACATGGGCAGCGGCCTGGGGAGAAAGAGCAGATGTTCCGGGCAGCAGCGCTGCGTCCCGTGTCGCAGTGTGTGCTAACGTGCTGGCCTCTCTCTGATGGTTTCTGTGCAGAGTGCTGAGTCCTGGTTCTCTCGGTGGCTGCCCGGGAAGAAGAAGACAGAGGCTTACCTGCCAGATGACAAGAACAAGTCGGTGAGCGGAGGGTCTGCCCAATCTGCGGTGCTGCCTCGCATGTGGACGCCGCTGAGGCTCCTTTTCCCTCCCTCTCCGCCCACAGATCGTCTGGGACGAGCAGAAAAACCAGTGGGTGAATCTGAATGAACCAGAAGAGGGGGTGAGTTGGGGGTGGGGGTGCTCTCTCTCTTTCTGTCTCTCTCTGTCTCTGTCTCTGTCTCTCTGGCGCCTGCTGCCTCGGAAGGAAACCCTTGCCTTGGTCGCGACATGGCAGGCCCCACGCTTCCACGAGCGGGTTTCTGAGGCTGTCTTCCTTTTGCAGAAAAAGGCTCCCCCACCACCTCCAACAGCATTTCCCAAGGCTCCTCAGGCTGCGCCTCCTGGCCCTGGCGGCCCCCCCAGAGCTGCGGTGAACGTGTTTTCTAGGAAAGCAGGTACCAGCCGGAAGGCGAGCATGTGGGACGCTGGGTTCTGGCGGGGCGTCTCCCACCTGTGAAAGGAGACGGGGATTTACCCACATGAGCCCACTGAGTGGAGATGTCAGTCCTGCCGGCGCTGAGCTTGCCTCTGTGGCTCTCTCTGACCCCAGTGGGCTGCAGGAGGCCAGGCACAGTGCCTGAGCCCACCCAGTCTGCTCAGCATGGCGTCTCCTGTCATTGAGGCCATGGGGGTGGGAGGGTAGGTCTGTGGGCTGATCTCGTGCCTCTCCCCCTCCACAGGGGGGACCCGAGCTCGATACGTTGACGTTTTGAACCCAAGTGGGACCACGAGAGGTGACCCTGTCCTCGCTCCCGCAGAGTTCTTTGCTCCCCTTGCCCCCCTCCCGATTCCTGTGCACGTGTTCGCCCCGGGCTCAGGTGAGCGAGCAGCCAGGAGCCCAGCCCTGCAGCAGCCTTCCCTGAGGGCCACACGTGACAGCCCGTTCCTTTCACAGACACTGAGGAGCCCCAGTCGCCAGGAGTGGGGAGCCCAGGTGGACAGGCCGCAGCAGGGGGACAAACTAGGCCAGAGCCCACCTCAGAGACTAAGGTGAGTCTCGGGAGGGGCTGTCGCCTGCCACCACCTGCACAAAGCAAGGTGGCCGTCAGTTCAGCCTGTGCAGGCCTCTGAGACGTGGCTGTGAGCATCACAGACTGGTGCCCACCCTGGCCTCCAGAGCAGGCAGCCTGGGCCAGCCTCGTTCTCCAAGAACCGGTCTGAAGTTCGTCACGGAGGTTCCCCTGAAATGGACAGGCTGCAAGGGCGCTCAGAGGAGAGCCCACTGGTCTGCCCCTGGTGAACTGCCTGCCTGCTGTGGGACCTGGTCACTGCCGCCTTGCCCGCTTCTCTTGGCAGACTGTGACTCCTGCAGCGAGGTCCCTTGGTTCCAAGCTCCCGCCCTGCAGCGTGGACACGTCCCGGGGAGGAGAGGTGAGCCTTGGCTACCTTGCCCTGGTGCAGAGGGCTTGCTTTCTGTGGACAGACACGAACCACAGGCCCCGGCCGCTGGAGCGAAACCGGTGCTTACCAACCAGCCCCGGCCCTCGCTCTCCCCTCGGCAAGTGCGGCAGATTCTGGGACGCACAGCCCCTGGTCCCAGCTCACAATGACAGGAGCCTGTCCAGCCGCTTCCCGCTTGGGGGTGTCTCCGATTCTAATGGCACCTCAGGGTTGTCGGAGACTGACCCTGCCGCTGGACACATTGGCCTCTCACTGTCGTTTGTCTTTGTGTGTGTCGCTGCACTGACTTACCTCTGAGCGCCGTCTGGCTAACTGTCCCTCTGCTATCAGTCTCTCTGTCTGTCTGGTTGCGTTCACTCCCTGAGGCTGAGCCTGCCGGGGGCGCCCTGGCCTTTGACCGCCTTCTGTCCGCCTGTGTTCTTGCTGTTTTGTAGCTCTCGCGCTGTAGCTCCCTGAGCTCGCTGTCGCGGGAAGTGAGCCAGCACTTTGACCAGGTACCTGCACGCTGGCTGGCTCGCTTCCTCTATGCGGTCGGCCCGGAACAAGCGCTGGGGCTGTGGGCGGTGAGGCGGCTGCCCCTGGCATGGGCGTTGGTGGGGGCCAGCGGCCTGGGCTCAGAGGCGGGGGTTGGCAGGACTGGTTTGTGTTGAAATGTGGGTTCCTCTGAGCTGCTCCTGATCTCTGCCACCTACATGCTCGGTGCGGGCTCTGCCCCATGCTGGTGGCTCAGGTCCTCACTGGGGAGGAGAGAGGGCTCCTGTGCACGCTGCCCACTGGTCTGATTTAGGTGTGGTTCACAGGTGCCCAGCAACCAGCCTCCTGCTGGGCTCCCCCCAGAAGGGGCCGTGCCCTTCTACAACCCCGCCCAGTTTGCACAGGTAAGTGATTGCCAGTGGAGACCCAGGCCCAGCCCCACTCTCATCAGGCCACATGGGACACTGCCCGCCATCCTGTGCTCAGAGCCCGCAGCTCCCTCAAGGGTCTTGATGGGAGAATATCCCCAGTTTTCTTTGGCTTCTCTCCCTGTGGGCTCGCTCCTCCATCACCCCTGCCTGTCCAGTCGGACTGATGTGTTTGGGAGGGGCTAATGAAGGAAGGGTCTCGGGGAAGGGCCGTGGCATTCAGAATACAAACCCTGGGCTGGTGGTGAGCCGGGGCGTCGGGTCAGGCTGCTGTCTGTCTGTCTCTCGAGCAGGTGTCTGCGGCCTCCGGAGGGAGGATGGGCCAGAGGAGACACCTCGCTCTGGACTGATTGCTCAGCTGCCCTCAGCATTGGGACCCCCACTTCTCTGCCGAGGGCCGGTGGCCATGTGCACCCAGTGATTCAGACACGACTGCCCAGCAAGCCCACTGCTCCCCCTGGCTCCCAGGCACCGGAGGAGAGGAGCGTGTCTGCCTGCAGAGGGCCGGGGCGCAGGGTGCCACAGCCCGGCAGGGTGTCACCCTGTGTGCCGTGGTGAGGCTGGAGGGACCCTCAACAGGCTGCAGCTCCTGCCTCACTCCGTGCTTCGGGGCCACGGGAGCAGCACACGCAGAGGCGGCCCTCACTGGGCCAGTGTCTGGTCTGCCTGGTCACGGAAGGCCTTCTCCCGGCCAGGGTGGCTTGTCCAGCTCCACTTCCTCTGCTGTGGCCATTTGGGACCACCAGTGACTGATTCCATAGCATGGGACAGGGGTGCTGGCCCTGCCCAACCACATCCTCGGTGCCCCTACCGAGATGGAGCCGCACACAGCAAGTTCACTTGGGTATCCATCTGATCCTCAGGGACCCACAGTGCTGGCTGCAAGGCTGACGTGGGACGGGGTCATGGGCCAGGCCCCAGGGAAGGCGTGCTCTCGGGCTGGCTTATGGTGAAGGGCGGGCAGAGGCAGAGCCCGAACTCTCGTTTCTGCCCCTGTCCCCACGCCTGGATCTGAAGCAGCAAAGGGGAGACTGACTCTCAGCTGTGTTCATAGGGACACCCCCACCCCACCCCACCCGGAAGCTTTGAAGGGCTTCAGCAACTGCCTCAGACCTGCTGGAGTCAGCGTCTGTGTCTGAGGGTGGGGTACAGTCAGTCAACCAGGGGACCGCCCCTGCAGGCCCTCCTATTCCCAACCCTCAAAGAGACTGCAGCGTCCTGTGGCTCTGCCGTGGGTCTGACCACTGGGACTGCCGAGTAGACTGCCAACCACTGTTGATTCAAGACGCTTCCTCGAGGCGGGAGCTGCTATTTTTCCTAAATGCAAATTGTTACACTGCAGATTGTTAAATAAAATATTTTGCGCGCTCA